ATCTCAATTTCACGCTGTTCACATTTAATAAAATAGGATCTGGCTTCATATCTATCTTCTATACCTTTCTCATCATCATGATCTAACTTGCATAATAAACATAAAATCTCATCAGTAATTCCATAATAATTAACATTTTCACTACTAAATTCTCTATATAAATTAAAATATTAATCTAATACTTTGTTGTGAAAATAGGTGCAGTCATAGATTGACTGAGATGCAGTTGTCACTTGCATCTTTGATGCATCAGTGTCATTATAATTTATATTATTTGTATTGGTAGCTTTTGGAAAGAAATTATTTATAATGTCCTGGATCTGATTATCAGATAAATTCGAGATGATATTTGCATTACAGTTAATTATTTGAATTCTATTTATTTCTATTCTATCAAACAATATATAGATTTTTTTTAGCTTTGAAAGTTATTTTACGTAAGTTTACATCAATAATATGAGTTTGATTTTGCTATACATCAATATTTTTGCTAATTTGTCATTAACACCATTCTTAGACTTAACATTCCTGACTCGATCCTTATATGCTTTATAGTAACAATACCAGCATAAAATCTCCTTACGTCTAAGCTTAATTACTACTCTAAATAGATTAACTATATTCTGTGCTATAACTTCACTAGATTTTATAAAAATTGCTTCTAAAGAGAGTTTAGAAATCTAAATATCAAATGCTTTATTAATCTTACCATCACCAACTTCAGTGAAGGATAGCTCTTATCTCAAATCTTGCTCCACTTTTAATTATAAGGAATTTTTTGACACTTTATCTCTGTGTTCTCAGAAGCTAGAGCTTGTTTGTCTGCCATAGGCGATTTTACTGGCAATGTTCCAGTAGATGATTTGTTACTAAAGGTAACTGACTTATAGGCTGAAATTGATTCTTTGACTACCTATTCTAGAATAGTTATAAGTTCAGCACTAGTCATAAAGAGGTCTTCCTTACAGTAAGTCAAGTCTGAAGTAACAGAGAATGAGTCTTTAGCAATTATCTTATCCTAAACCTTCTTTTCTCATCTGCTCTCTCTAATTTTATCACTAATGCTTTTCTTATTTATCTTAATCAAGAAAATGTCTATTTCCTTTTCTTCTGATGTCTTAGCATCATCATTATTTTGCTAGTTTAACACAGAGCTAGATAAATTAACATCTGATATGGTTTGCTCTACAGACCTCTTTGATATTGGTTCTTTATGTAGCTGATCATTCACTACCAAGGAATCCTATTCCACTATAACTAGTCTAGCCTCAAGCTCTATATTTTTTTGCTCTAATTTCTCAATTCTAACATCATGCCTGACATTTTTCTCAATAATCTGCTTCAGCTTCACATTCTCAGCTTTAACTTCTATAAACTTTTTCCTGATCTCAACTAAGAGCCTAGAATTTACCTCTTTTAATGAATCAATAGATTATACGTTTAACATGATTGATAACACTTGTTTACTATACTAAATATTCAAATTAAATAATAAAAAATCACGTGTCTATTCTAATTTGGAATGCAGATTACTTTTGCCAAGAAAAAATTTATTATTACATGTAAAAAATAAATACAAAGGTCTGGACTAAACCCATGATACATATTATTTTTTGATAATTTTTTTAATTCTAACCCTCTTGCTAGCTGAAAAACTATCTGTATTAATATGATCTTTTAACAATTTCACAATAATATTAATCACCCTTTTCACGTTGCTATGAAGTAATTCAGGATTTTCTTTAACAACTGATTTTGTGAAATTAATCTGGTATTCTACTGCCACTTGTATAGTAAATACCATCTAGAGTATATATTATAAAATGTTACTCTATACCTGTAGTTATAATACTATAGATATAATCAAAATAGTCATTCCTAAATACTTGATCTGCAGTCCGTTTCTTTTTATTTATTTAAAATGCTTTATATCTTGCTATTAGGAAGGAAAAAGTTAAGGAGATACAAGATGCAATTAGTATTATCATCTGATGCTGAGTTTCATGAAAGCATATGCAAATGGAATTTTCATACCTTTTATATAGAGAGGATTCTAAAGGGATTAGATCTACTAGAAAGACATATAGTTAATTTCACTTCTAGTGATCTCAAAATTCCAAAGTTCTCAGCATTTTATAACATATGCTTTGTTAGCATTATTTTCTTATATAGTAGGTCCTGTATTATAATTAGTCACTTTTTTACATTTTTTCACATATGTTTGGGAAAAAAATAATGAACAAAAGTTAATATGTTTTCTTTTTCAAATATATCAGTCAGTGGACATGTCAGGTGATCAGTATGGCAGTTGATTTTAATTAGAGGATCAATATCATATTGATCACTTTTATAGAACAGTTTTTAGCTTAAATAAAAATATTTTTCAAAACAATATATGCTTAAATTTTGCATATAGCTTTACATTATTTTGAAGCTATAGTATGCTAATTTTTATTAAAATCAAATCATTATTGAACAACTTTTAATATAAAAAACTTATATGATAAACAAAAATTGCTAAACTTGATGGATATTCCAACATATAAAAATGTTGTTTTACTATAGTTTGTAATACTAAGATAAATAATACGAGAAAATAATAAGAAAACATTCTTGTTTTTATTTAAATAAAAGAAGTTTTAAGTAACTTGCATCTTGGGTTTTAAATTATCTATAATTTTGAAAAAAAGAAAATACAAACTGCTAATGTCAGAATAAAAAAATGAAATTTCTTTTTCTCCACCTTTTTTATTCTTTGAAGACTTGTCAAAATAAAAAAAATAAAGCTTCTTTCCTCTCCACCTTCATTTTTTGTAGACTTGCCAGAATAAGAAAATGAATTTTTCTTTCTTCTACCTTATCAAGAAAATAAGCTTTCTTTTCTTCTTCACCTTCGCCTTCATTTTTATAGATTTGTTAGAATAAGAACAAGAAAATACAATTTCCTCTTCTCTACCTTTATTTTAGAAGAATATAATAATAAAATAAGTAGTAATAACGAGTTTGAAGGATAGTTTAATGAAATACTCAACAATGATAACAATGATAATATTAATGATATAGACTTTGAAGATTTTGAAGAAAATCAGAAAAGTAGTTATAAGCAAGACAAAATTATAGATAGTTTAGAATATACAAAATATACATCATGTGTAATTAATGGTAAAATTCAGCGATGTGGAGAATTAGCAAAATTAAGACAATTACGCAACTTATTTGACACATGATAAGTTAATAGAAATGCAATTAAAGAAGTTGATGGCATTTTATCAAAATTAGGAATGTATAATTTTCATTTTCAATTTGATAACAAATATTTACATAAATCACAAAGTAAACAATCAAAGGATTTTAATCAAAGAATTATTCAATGACGTTGATGTATTTCTTATAGTAAATACATTACCTTTTTTTCTCAAGATGTAGGATGTATATTACACTCTTGGCATTTAAATAAACAAAATATTCAAGTATTTTATATTGGACAATATACATGTTGTCAACGGAAGAAATTGCAATTTTACATATCACGTGGGATATGTCAATCAATAATGATCTCACGTTAGATGATGTTACTGCTGTGCCAAATATTGATCAGCAGTAATTTCTGTTTCTTCTATTACGTCTGTTCTTACTGTATTTTCTATACAGTCTGTTTATCCTGTTTGTTCTGTTTCGTCTATAATTTCTTTAACGTCTGTAATTTATTTTATTTCTTATTATTATTTTTATTATTTTATTATATTTAAGTCTATTTTATTGGAACATATATCTATATTTAGTTAATTTATAGCGTAGCAAGTAGTTAGCCATAGCAAATTAATTTTGTATAAATAGAATAGCTTTTTGCTTAAGTTGTAAATTAACTTAGTTGTAAGTTTATAAACTCTTCTACGAGTTTCAAGTTATAAATAAAGGAATCAATTTAAATCCACACAAACTACTTTTTCCTTCAACGTTATCTTTCATCTAGAATTGTTGTAATATACTACACTAACTTGCTATTAAGTTTATCATTACGAGTTTGACTAACATATCTTAAATTCTAAGACGTGATAAATTGCCGAGTTGATTCAAGTATAACAGATACCTGTAGGATTTAGAGAAAATCCTAAGGTCAGAAACTCTAACGTGTTGAATCAGCTGCCACAGCCTTTCAACTTAGACGTTAAGATAAACGAAAACGAACCCAGTGACATTATAAAAAAACTTTCATATTTTTTGTTAGAGAACAATTGCGATAAATATAGAATGAATATGAAGGATATCAATCATTTTTATCATTAATTATAGATAGTGAATTAAAATGTATTTTATTTTTATAAAATAATAAATTATATTTTCTAATATTTTCTTTTTACCTTATAATGATAAATATTTATTTCTATCATATTTTATCTATTTAAAATGATAAATATTGATTTCTAATATTTTTATGCATCATATAAAAATATCTAAGAAGTATGTCTACCTCAATTCTAAAAATTCATTATTAGTGAGATGTCAATATTTTAACACTTAAGCAGATCGAAGAAATTAGACATCTTAAAAATAAAGTTCTGGCATATATGATACAGTGCAGAACCTCTATAATAGGAACATTCTTATAACAACCTTCAAACATGTATAACTCCATCAATAATAAAGATATAAAAATTTTAACTAATAAATTAGAAAGTTTGAATCAAAATCTAATCATTTTTACAGTTAGATTTTAAATTTTATATATAATGAACAAAGTTTTTGCATAATGAAGTTACACTAATTTAATTATGAGTGCTGAAATTGAGAATATGTCAATTTGTGTAATACTCTGAAAAAAAAGATAAATTTCAATTAAAATTAATATGATGAACTCAGAATATAACTTTGTTTTCAGAATTCCAGTTGTTCCTCTCAGTATAATGTGAATTTAGTGCTTGCTGTCATTTTTTTTTGTTAAATTAACACATTTTCAAATAAATTTTAATAAATTTTGAAAAAGTTTATTCTCATTCATTATGCCGTTATCACATGCATCAAGATTAGTCAAAAAACGAGTTGTGAAGCAAAAACATGATAAAATGAGTAAATTTAAATTGAATAAACGATATAAAGATGATAATGATGATTACTTTATCCTTGAATTAAGCGACTCAGATGATTTTTATTCAGAAGATAGTGATTCTGATTCTGAAGAATTTTTAGATCAAAGAATGCAATGCCTATCTGAATTTAAATTAGTATAGACTGATACTGCGATGATTGAACAAAAAAAAAGCACCATATATTGGCAATTCAATTGTAACACATTATCAAAAATATGGACTATAGGGAAGTTTTACTATAGCGGTAAAGGGAATAAGTTCTCTTTTTAATTTTTTTAAACCAATGAAAGACTTAGCTGAAAATAAACTTGTTGTAGATTTAACAGGTAAATATATATATATTTTTTTATTAAATACTCAAATCATTGTTAAAATTAATTTATAAATATTGATTTAAATTAAACAATTTAATAATATATTAGATGATATTAATGATGATATATCCACTGATATAAAAGATAATAACAATGTATTGGCTGATATAAAGGACGATAATAATGCATTGATCAGTGCAAAAGATGATAATAATGTATTGGTCGGTACAAAGGGTAATAATAATGCATTGGTTGGTACAAAGGATGATAATAATATATTTGCTGATGCAAGAGATGATGATTCATCAGCTGGTATAAAAGATGATGATTTATTAGCTAAAGGTGATTCAGAAACAGGCTTTTTAGATGATTGAGACGTTGAAATAAATAGTTTGAATTTAATGGAAACATCACGTCAAGAATTAGAAGAAAGTGTAGATAATGATATTCAAAATAATAACGATTATGATTTTAATCAAAAATTACAAAAATTAAAACAAATTATTTTGAATAATAATAAAAAGCAAAATGTATATGATTACCTAAGATACCAGTCTATACATACATATTTTACATATTGGAAAAAAGATGGATTAATATAGATGAAGGCAAGTGAGAAAGCATCAGAGGAAATTTATAGTAAAGGAATTTATAGATCTAGAGTAATTCGTAAATTAGGTGATTATTGGATTAAATATAATGCATTACCTATTTCATTACAAGGTCATCATCAAAAAATAAAATCATTTATTAATGATGAGGATATTATTAATTGTAGTTTGACATATATTCATTCCAATAGCGGAAGAATAATACCATAATAATATAGAGAATTTATAATATCAAAACTATAGATGCCTGCCGAAACCTTCTCAAAATAATTTCGTCATATCCTTTTCTATGTTTTTAATATAGTTTCGACAGTTTCAGCTTTCGTCATATTGAAAGGGTTTCATCGTATCCCTTATTATTATTTTAATATAGTTTCATCTAAGTTTCGACTGTTATTAAGGGGTTTCGTCCCTCATCATTAATCAAAACTTTTTTCTCAAATGGGTATTATAAGATCAATATCAATAAAAACAGCAAGAATATGGCTTTATAAGTTGGGTTTGACTCCTCAATCTCGAAAAAAAGGTGTATATTTTGATAGACATGAACGTGAAGATGTATTACAATATCAGGAACAATTTTTAAAAACTATGGCAGAATTTGAAAAACTAATGCTAACATTTATTGATGATAAAATGCAAATGATTCTTCCAGAACTTAAAAATGAAGAACAGTTACATATTTTAGTAACACATGATGAATGCCTTTTTTATGCTAATGATGATCGTCCGATTGTTTGGCTCCATTAGGTGAACCACTGCTTAGAAAGAAAGGTCAAGGCAAATCTATAATGGTTAGTGAATTTTTATTGGAAACTATTAGATGACTTAAACTTACTGATGAACTTGTTACAAATTATCCAAATATTTCTAAAGAAGCAAGAAAATATTTACATCCGGATAAAAATGATGAGGGTTGGTGGACTGCAGATCATCTTTTAGATCAAGTAATAAATTTAGCAATTCCAATCTTTGAAACATTATATCCTAATGCAATAGCTGTTTTTATATTTGATAATAGTACCAATTATGGTGCAATAGCAAAAAATAGATTAAATGCTTTTAAAATGAATATGAATCTAGGAGAAAAATAACCATATATGCGTTCAACTTATTATGGACCAAATCAAACTTTTCAATCTATGGTTTTTCCACATGATCATTTAAAATATCCAAATCAATCAAAAGGTATGAAACAAATATTAATTGAAAGAGGTTTATGGAAAAATAATTTATTGGCTGATTGTCAACTATGTAAAGGAAAAACAAAAGTTATAGATGTGAATAGAGTAGATTGTTGTGCATGTCAAATTTTATCATTACAGCCAGATTTCTTAGAACAAAAATCTCAACTTCAAGAAGAAATTAAAAAGTGTGGTCATAAATGCATTTTTTACCCTAAATATCATTGTGAGTTAAATTATATAGAAATGTATTGGGGTGCGACAAAGAGATACACAAGAGAATATTGTAATTATACATGGATAGGATTGCAACAAACAGTTCCTAAAGCTTTAAATTCAGTTCCTTTAATTACAATTCGTAAATATGCACAAAAATTATGACAGTATATGAATATTTATAAAAAAGGTATTACTAGAAAAATGGCAAAATTTGCTGCTAAAAAATATAAATCTCATCGTCGTGTACCTGATAGCATTTATGATGAAATAAAATAAATAATTTACATAATATATTGAATTCTAACTTTTGATTGGCTAATATTATAATCATGTGATGATTACATAATCTAATAAAATTGAGAATTTTAAAAAATTTTTAAACCAATTCCTTTTTACAAATAAAATTTAATTTTTTTTATTTAATTGAAATCTGATTACTAGTTCAAATTTTATTTACAATTTTCTAACTTCCTATTATAGAGGTTCTACATTGTAGTAATTTATATATAAAGTTTCCGGAATTCTTTCTAAATATGTTATCACAATGTTAATCATTTTTTTCATCTCTTAGATGTTCTAAAATAAATCAATATATCAGCATTTTGATCTTTGCTTGATCATTATTATGCGTATAATATGCGTAATAAAATATCACAAAAATATTATCTAATCTAATCGACTTTATATGTCTCATCAGCATGGTAAAATTGCTATGATTTTCCTATCATCTGATTTCTAGAATTTAACATAATATATCATCCAACAATGGCATCTTAATTTTTGACATTTAACGTAATATTAAACTGACGATAAAAAATCAAAATATTATGAAGTAGTATGAAATATTATTAAAATGAATTATAGTGGTAAGTGTGAAATGAAAGCCCTTACCTTTATTTTTTTTATCTTACTGCTAATCTTAAAAATTCTTTTTATAGATTCAAATCATTTCAAAATTCTCTTGTGAGAAATAATATATTATATATTCTGTGATATAGATAGACAAGAATTCTGTAGGTATAAGTGGTATAATTTATTTCAGAATTCTAGTGTAGAAAAAGATTATGGGATGAGAATCTTTTAGTTAATAATAGATGTAGAAATTATTTTTCAGACCAAGAAATAACTTGATGTTAAGACTCATATTAAATGGCCTAAGTTCTGTGTACTCCCTTCCTCTTTGATAGCATTATACATTTTGTTTTCTTTAATACTTTCCAATTTTAAAATTATAATAAAATTTATGTAACATCAGAAAAAATATTTTACTACTAATAATGCAAATTAATGAAATTTGAATCACACTTTGAGAATATAAGTTGAATCAAAATATTTCACTATTCAATTTTTTTTAATGATTAAAATAAATATTAATCTTAATACTAATCTCATACTTCAGATTTACAAAATGCATAAGTTTAATAAAAGCTTATTTAGATTTAGACGTGCTCATATAGTTTGATATTTAAAATCATATATAAATCATATTTTTCATTTTATTTTTATTTTTACTTCTTCCTTCCAAAATCAATACCTTTATAGTTAAAATAAGATGAAATTTTTAGAATTTCTCAACAGTATCACTGGATTTGTTTTCGTTTATCTTAATGTCTAAGTTGAAAGGCTGCGGTAGCTGATTCTACATATTGGAGTTTTCGATCTTAGGATTTTCTCTAAGTCCTACAGGTATCCGTTATACTTGAATCAACTCAGCAATTTATCACGTCTTAGAATTTAAGATATGTTAGTCGAACTCGTAAT